GCGTTGTCGCATGACAAAGCAACAATATTTTGGAAAGGTATTTGGAGCTTACACATTTCACGTTCAAATGCGGTAAATAATTTTTCCGCACTGCAATCTGTCGCATCAAGATCAATTAATTTTACTAATTGCGAGTGAACTTGTAATGTCTCGAGATTAATATATCGAACATAAAACGTCATCCATTTATCATTTGTAATATCTGACGTTTCATCAACAAAAAGAGAAAATTTTGTATTTTGAATATTTTGTACCACACGATCCGTTTCAACTGGGGCCAAAACATTCGAAATTATATTACTACATTTAGTTCGACCCATGCTCATGCTTTGCAAAACGTCAGGATCTTTCCCTACGTCTTTAAAAAAATCGAGTAACATTTGTGCAGTTCGGTGTGAAATATTTTTGTCAGCCACTAAAGCAGCGTATCGAATCTCTGCTGATTTTTTCCGGTTTAGAAACTTGTCTTTTTGCACGTTTAATTCTTTATTCGAATAGCTCGTTTCTATTTCACATTTTTCGTATTTATTTTTATGTTCTTTTGATTCTGCATGACGATATATTTGCGATAAACCACCAGCAATAGTTTTATCGCAAACCGAACAAGAAAATGAATGAGCATCATTTTGCACTTTGCATAGCCATGGCTTAAATTGCTCGATCTCTAACCATTGTGGCTGAAATACTTTTGGACGTAATGGCTTTGTTTTAGAAACTACGTTATCATTATCAGGTGATGATGTATTTTCTCGAATATTTTTTTTATGATGCGTGGATTCCGCATGTCTTACTATATTTGATAACGGGCCGCACGAAAAATTTTTAGTGCATATGGTACAGTGAAAAAGGCTATCATCTAAAGGTACTTTTTGTATCCATGATTTACATCGCTCATCGCTAAGCCAAGCTTCTAAAAAGCTTCGCTTTACTTTTTTCTTTAATGTAGCAGGCGTTTCCATGTCAAGGTGGAAATATAGCAGAACAAAGAATGACTGTGATAAACAGAAGTAATCGACTATAGCGACTATTAGTTACAATTAAGAAAAATGTGAAACAGTAGAATATTTATCTAATTCTATTATCCCAGAATATATTATAAAATAGCATCACCTGATGTTCACGGAACGAGGATTCCTCTAATGATCGAGAGCACTATTCAAGTTACACACTTATTCGCGAGTCACAAGATTATAAGATATGTAACTAACGCACTTGTTTAGTAACGCAATAAGTATGCTAAGGATCGCGAAGACACGAAGAGAGATCTGAGATCTGAGTGTCTACTAATCTAACCACAAAGGATATAACAAACGACATAATCGACTTGCATTTGTTTGACGGCACTATCGTATCTACTCCGTGTTCAAGGGGAGAATATATTTCTAAGGTGCGATACAGTTTTGTTGTTCCTTTTTCTCATCTCATTCTTTATTTTATTTTATTTTTACTTGTTAATACATTCTAACAGAATACACGGTTATCTTTGAACCTAATGTGATAAATAAGAAGACATCGGTTTTACACAAGACCCTACGAACGCCGTCGCCGTCCCTGCCAACATTCGCGTTCGCGGTGCCAATGTGCAACCAGAGATGCAAACTTTGGGGCCGAGTACCATCGAGGTGTTACACTCGGTGATCGCGCACACAAGCGCAACCATGTCCGTGTGCTGCGCAGAGCACTTTGCTCTGCAGGACACGGCATGGTTGCGCTTGTGTACGTGAGCACCGAGTGTAACACTTCGATGGTGCTCGACCCCACAGTTTGCACCTCTGTGTGCAACTTCATTTGTTTCATCGCAGAGAAGCAGCAAACACGCAAAATGCCACGTAAGTATTATATAGGTTATAAACATATTTGATATTTATAACGGTCTGCGTATAACAAAATCTGCGATTTGGAAACTATTTAAGTGACATCCCAGTGAGAAATGATCCGTTGATCGACGTCGAAATGATGTCGAGTCGACATCAATTCGACGGTGTCGATGTCGAGTCGACGTCAATTCGACGGTGTCGATGTCGATTCGACGTCGTTTCGACGTCGATCGACGAATCATTCCTCACTGGGATTCTCCGGTAAAATGATTACAAAATAATAGATTCGGTTCGGTTTCCACTGACAATCTACTGCCAGATTTTGTTGGCGCAATGTTAACCTATCGCATGTCTAGTGCAAAATAGTTACATTTTATATATTATAATTTTTCTTTTTCTTTGCAGAATCATCAAACAACGGTGATGTGCCAACGCTGCAACGGGTGTTGCAGCAGTTGCAGCAGCAACAAACTTTGATAGAGGAGTTGCAGCGACGGCTGCAAGAGCGCGAGCAGGTGCGGGAGCAACCGTTTCAGCAGCCTCTCCAGGAGGCCGAAGACCAGCCGGAGGCGCAACAGCAGCAGCAGCAAGAGGGCCAGGAAGCCCGCCAGCAGCATGAGCAGCCGCTGGCGCAGCAGCAACAGGAGGCCGAGGAGCAGCCGCAGCCGCAGCAGGAGGCTGAGGAGCAGCCGCAGCAGCAGAAGCCAAAGCGAATGAGTACGTAATTTATAAATTAACAATTCGATTATATTTATGTATATTACAGCGGAGTGAAAATGCAAAAATTGCGGCGTATAATTGCATCGATTTTGTAAATGCAGAAAAGCTTGCGTACTTTTCTAATTTATGCAAAGTCACAACTTGTCCATACTACCGCTATTTAATTAACACAATTTTTACACTTTCACTCCTCCCTAATCTATAATAATATATAATATTAAATTTTATAATTATTATTTAGAGTATTTTTATACTATTTTATTTATTTTTTATATTTTGTATATATTTGCAGTATTTTAATACCATTTATGTATTTGTTTGTTTCAGGAATTCGACGTGGAACAGGGCGCGGTAAAAAACGAGGACGCTGGTACGCCCAACGGGGCCGCGTCAGGGGTGGCCCACGAAAATATCCAAATACAATAATAAATCAGTATTATGCGTAATACTATTTATTATTATAAGATGCGTAATATTATAAGATAAAAACATATAATAAATATTCATATGTAAATGGAATAAAAATATAAATATTAAAAACTTCAAGTTTTATTGACCGTATCCGCGATCCTTAACATACTTATTGCGTTACTAAACAAGTTAAATATCTTATAATCTTGTGAGTCGCGAATAAATGTGTAACTTGAATAGTACTCTTGATCATTAGAGGAATCCTCGTTCCGTGAACATCAGGTGATGCTATTTTATAATATATTCTGGGATAATAGAATTACATAAATATTGTACCGTTTCACATTTTTCTTAATTGTAACTAATAGTCGCTATAGTCGATTACTTCTGTTTATCACAGTCATTAAATATTCTTTGTTCTGCTATATTTCCACCTTGACATATCATACTTGTCACAAAGACGAGTGTCTAAAAGATATATAATATTATTTTCTAGTGGACTAGGCCTACAGGGGAAACCACAAAAAAAACGCGTCAACAATAGTACCTCTTGGGTGACGTGGAAATCTATTGTCGCAATTGTAATTACATG